TTTTTTTTAATAAAAAATATAACGGCGCGACTTTAAACTTTGACAAACTTTTTTTTAAAAAAATAATTCGCGTATGAAATTATTATTATTATTATTTTAACGCCGGAAATGCAACAACAACAACAACAACCGTCCGATTTATATATTTTATATATAAAGTTAACATTTATCATTGTTTAAAAAAAAAGTTTAAAACTTATAAACAAATATATTCACGTCGGTCGGATGTTAAAAAATTTTTCCCATTGAAAAAAAAAACTATTATTATTATTATCATTATCATTATTATTATTATTGTTAATAAATATTAGTTCGTTAAAGTAAAATAATTAAATTATATTTTATTATTAACGCAATGTCGAAATTTTTCGAGCGTGAAAAATAAGTAAAGTTTTATAAAATAAATAAATAAATAAATAAAAGGGATGCAACGTAAAAACAAAAAAAAAAGAGAAAGAAAAAGAGAGAGAGAGAGAGAGAGAGAGAGGAAGAGAGGAAGAGAGAAAGAAAGAAAGAGAATAAGATGGTTGATAAAAAAAAAAAATAAAATGAAAACGAATGAAACAAGGGATGATGATGATGATTATTATTATTATTATTATTATTATTAGGATGAGATGAAGGGAGAAGAAAAACACAAAAAAAAAAAAAAAACGGGGGTATAAAAATAAACGAATGAAAGAGAGAGAGAGAAAGATAAAAACCTAAATAAAAGGTTGAAAAACCGCATTAAACAAGAGAGAAAGAGAGAGAGAGAGAGAAGGTTGATTTTTTTTTTATTAAAAGAGCGAAAAAAGGAAAGAAAGAAAAAAAGAGTGAGAGAGAGAGAGAGAGAGAGAAGGAAATAGGACGAGACGAGGCACGGATTTAAAAAAAAGAATGACTGAGAGAGTGAGTGAGAGAGAGAGGAGAGAGAGAGAAGAGAGAGAGAGAGAGGGAAAAAGTGCATTTATTTATTTATTTTTTTTATAAAAATATAAAAGTGTACATAGTTTGTTTTACAACGTAACCGGGGTTTTTCTACAACACCAGATACTGTTGTAACTCCTTAGGATTTTTTAGTGTAATCTATACGCTTATAAGTGCAACGGATTATACCGACAATATATATCTATTAATATTATTACATTTTATTATTATTATTATTATTATCATCATCATAATCGTCGTCATCGTCATCATCGTTACAATAACTATTATTTATTTATTTATTTATTTATTTAGTTTTTTTTTTTTTTTTTTTTTTTTTTTTTAGTTTTTCCGTTTGTTTAAATTTTTCTTTTTTTTCAAATGAATCGTGAGAAAATTTTTTAAAGGTAAAAAAAAATTCTTTTTTAATTTTCTTATAATTTTTCATTCGCTTTTTATTTTTCCGGTAAAAAAAAAAATAAAAGTTTTTCTTAAAAAGTTTTAATTTAATATTTACGGGGGGCGGAAAAACAAAAAAAAAAAAAAAGTGTCGTTAAAACACGGTGAAAAACTTTAAAAAAAATTTTCCCGCCGTTATTTTCACACGACTTAACGTTCATTTATTAATTTATTAATTTAAAAAAAAAAAAGTGAATTGTTATTATTATCATTATTAAATAATAATAATAAATAAAATTAACCAATGGGAAAAAGTTAATAAAAATTAACGGAAAAAAAAAATTAACGAATTTAAAAATTCGTCGGTCGGAACGAAAAAATTTCAATTTCAATTTAATTAATTAAATTAAATCGTAAGTAATTTATCGATATTATTATTATTATTTATTTATTTATTTATTTAAAAAATCGATCGATAAATTTGTTTGTTTTAAATAAATAAATAAATCGATCGATTTTTTTTTTTTTTTTTAAATTTAACGATTTTTATTTTAAATTTAAAATTTTGTTGTTGTTGTTGTTTATAATCGTTCGATATATCGAATTATAATAATACGATATAATCGAATTTATTCGATTTTTCCGTAATATAAAAAAGAAACCGAAAAAAAAATAAATTGAGGTGATTTTACGGTGAATCCCCCAAAAGAAAAAAAAAAATTAAAGGAAACACCTGTTTTTAATTGGGGAGCCTCGAGGGGGTGTGCAACCGATTTTTCTTTTTTTCTTTTCTTTTTTTTTTTATTAATAATTTTGCGAAAATTAATGGCATCATCGATAATCATCCCCCCTTTTTTTCATATAATTTGATATTTAAGGACCGAAATCAGGAAAGAGAAAAAGAAAAAAGTCATTAACGGAAAACATAAAATAATTTCTCTTCCTTTCGATTATTTTTTTTAAACTTTACCTATTATTATTATTATTAATATTATTTAATTTTGGTACGTACGCCATTTTTTTTATTATTATTATTCATTATGATTATCCGTGATTTAACCGAAAACAAGCAAACAAACGGTTAATAACGGACGTTCGTTCGCGTTTGTCGAGTTAATAATAATTTACTTATTAACTATAAGTTTTATTATTATTATTATTATTATTACAATTCTTATCCAATCGCCATTTTGATTAACGAATTATGAAATTTTTAAATGACGGTGACGAGTACAATAATAATAAAAATAATAATAATAATAATAATAATAATAATAAATGGTATTAATTACATAAGTGATTTTCTTTTCTCTTTCTCTCGTTATTCTTACAATAGATTTTTTTATTTTTATTTTCGCGTTTATCATTATTATTATTATCATTATAACTATTATTATTATTATTATTATTATTATTATTATAGCGTGTAATAGTTTTTATGTGGGCATAATTAAACGTTGTAGTATCGAATGCGCGCACACACACACATTTATGTATCTATAAGGTTGATATAAAGACAAAATATGACCCCGGAGGGTGTTTCCTTCTCGATATTTATGTAATCGACATGTAACAACCACAACAACAACAACAACAACAACAAACACAACAACAACATTTCTTCTTTTTGTTTAAATGTTTTTTTAAAAAAACGGTACCTTTTCATATACGATTTTATACTTAAATTTTAAAAAAAATTTTCGTTTGTTTTTATGAAAACTTTTTACCGGAAGTTTAAACAAAAAAATCTGATTTTTATCAAATTCGTCAAAATAATTTTTTTTAAAAAACGAAATTATTATTATTATTATTATTATTATTATTATTATTATTATTATTATTATTATTATCATTACTATTATTAATTAAATGAGAGGGGGAACAAATAAAATCTAGCCTTAATTTTTTAAATTAACTTTTACGTAAAAATAAATAAATAAATAAACGAGGTTAAATATTATTATTAAACAAAACCGGAAACACTTGAATTATTTTCCAACCTAATTTTTTTTTCGTTGAAAATTTTAACAAAAAAAAATTTTCCTCGTTTATAAAAATTAATAAGAATTCTAACAAAAGTGCCCCCCAATGCCTCCTTTTTCTCCGCCTCCTCCTCCTCTCCTTTTTTTAAATGTAACAAAAATAATAATAATAATAATAATAATAATGATAATAATAATGAATCCGTATAAAAAATTACGTTTTTTTTATTCATTTATTTATTATTAATAATTTTTAATTACTTCCTGTTGTTATTATTATTATTATTATTAAATATTTCACGTTTATTCGTGCGCGTTTTTTTTTTTTTATCGTTTCGTTTCTTTTTTTTCGAATAATAATAATAATAATTCGTAATACATAAATAAATAAATAAAATAAAAATGGAAAAATATTTATAACTCGTTTGAAAATCAAAAATTTTATTTTATTTTTTATTTATTAACCTATCTATTTTTCCATGCCGATGATTTAATTTCAACTTGAACATTATTATTATTATTATTATTATTATTATTATTATTATTATCATTTAATTCTATTAAAAATTTTCCTTCTTCATCATCTTTTATCATTTAATAATTATCATCATCATCATCTTAACGTTTTTTCCTCATGTAAATCAATCGTACTACTTTGTTTATCACCGTGCCGTAAAAAAAAAAAAAATTCGACAAATCCAACCCACAACAACAACAACCAACAAACAAACAATCGTACAATCGTTTTCAATCTCTCTCTCTCTCTTTCTCTCGAGAGTCATTTATCGTAATAATAATAATAATAATAATAATAATAATTGTAAATCCTCCTTGAATTTATTTTAAGTAAATTATTTATATTCGAAAGTTTTTTGTTTTTGTTTTTTTTTTTTTTTTCCGAAAGTTGGGGAGTAGGGAAAAAGGTGATAGGGGGGCAGGATGGGGGGGGAATGTTTCGTTTATGACCGTTTAAAAGCTTTTCGTGAAAATTTAGCATTTTAATTAAAATCAGCATTTTAACTGATGAAAACAATTTTATTTTATTTTATTACACGTTGAAATATTTTATAGAGTTTAACTAATCTCAAACTTTTGTGGTTGAATGAATAATTATTTATTTATTTATTTATTTATTTTTTTTCTATTTTCAGAATTGACGAAAAATAAAAAAGTTTTATTAAATACCAAAGAGAATAGTATAATAATAATAATAAATAAATAAAAATGAAATCATCGGAAGAAAAGGAAAAATTACCGAATATCGAATAATTAATAATAAATAAATAAAAAAATAATAATAAAAAAAAAATGGAGGAATCCACGAACGATAAAAATTATTTTTTTAAAAGAACAACAACAACGACAACGGCAACGACAACCACAACAACCAAGACAACAACAACAACAACAACGTGCACGAAACGGATAAAAACTAAACTCGAATCGTTCGTGCCTTTATTAAAAAAAATATTTAACATAAGATATTTTAAAATCTGCAATCGTATAATATTTTTATTTATTGTGTTTTCGTTCCTAACTAACCCGGTGATCGGTGATATAGTGCAAGATAATAATAATAATAATAATAATAATAATGATAATGATAATAATAGTATCAACTCGAAGATATTAGTGAACAACAACCAAAGTGTAGACATCGGAAAGAAATTATTTAGCAATAAAAGTGACATTTTTTATAATATAACAACAACAACCACGACAACCGCGACAACCACGACTGGGAATAATGTAAATACGCGTAATAATCCTGTCGTCGGTAAAAACATATGTTTAAAAGAACATAGAATCAAAGAAAGAGATTTAAGAGATGATGATGGTGGTAGTAGTAGTAGTACTAGTAGTAGTAGCAGTAGTAGCAGTAGTAGTTATAGACTTAAGAGAAGAAAAGACAGAAATATCGGCGAAAGGGAAAAAAGACTTGGATTAAATCATAATAATAATAATAATGATGATGATGATGATGATGATGATGATGATGACGATAATGAGAACGAAGACTCGAAAAAAAAAATCGTCGTAGGAGCAGGACCTGTAAGCGAATGCAGTTCTTGCGCAAGGGAAAGACTTCGTAGTAAATCACTCGAAGCAATTAAAGATTCGATCCTGTCGAAATTGGGTATGTCACAACCGCCGAACGTGACGGAAAGGCGGAAACCTAAAATTGCCGATCACATGCTTATGGCTTTACTTAGGAAAAGGCATTCTCATCACGGTTCGAGCGGATTATATTGGATAGTACAGGATGACGATTTCGAACAAATGCAGGGAGACGAGCCCTACGATTCTCGTTATAGGTATATTTAATGAAAGAATCATGTTTTTTATAATAATAATAATAATAATAATAATCCCACAAATTTCTCCCTCGCATGATCCCTCCTATTATCATTAGTACTTTTCACGATACTTTTAACCACGACATTATTGATATAGGGTAATACCTAAACCAGAGGATGGTTTATGTTATTTTTCTTATATAAAATACCTTAGTTATGTAAATAATAATAATAATAATAAAAACCTGATTCTTTCATTTGATATCGTTTTCAGTGGTGATAAAGTGAGTAGCAAAAACAGCGATTCTAGTAATAAGAGTAATTTTCTACGATCTCGTGGCGGCAACGCAAGTGATAATAAGTATAGTGATTCAAGTGAGTTCCAGGAGGGAGAAGTTTTAATGGAAGAAGAAGACGATTACCACGTACGAACGGAAAGAATCGTCGCTTTTTCACAACCACGTAAGTTTTCCCAGTTTTTTTTTTTCTTTTCTTCCTATATATAAACAGCATTCGATTACTTAATTCGCACGAGGTTAAATAACAAATTTTTTTTTTAAAAAAATGGAATCCATTTTCCATGAAAAATATGATTCTCCCCCCCCCCCTCCTCCCGTGGTCGTAATCGTATTGTCGTATGTGAGGGGAAACCGTCGGAAAATTTTTTTTTTTTTAACGCGTTTATGATCATTGTGAGTTTTTTATACATCAAATCCCTCCCTCTCCCTCTCTCTCTCTCGTACTGGCTCTCTCTCTCTCTCTCTCTCGTGAAGATTTTTTAATAATAATTATTTTAATTATGTATGCATTTAAAATGTAAAACCTCGAAGGCATCATCACAACAAAATTATCGATAAAAATGAATTTTTTTTTTTTCCTGTTCTAATTCGCTCATTAATTTTTTTTTTTTTTTTTTTTACTCTCGTACCTGTTTTTCTTTTTTTTTTTTTTTAACTGATTCTATTTAAAATTTTTTTTTTTTTTCGTTTTAATATAAAGCAGAAGATGTTTTTGAAAAAGAACGAGGTCATGATCGTAAAAATTTCCTTTAAAAAAAAAAAAAAAAATTTAATTTATTTGTGGCCAAAATAATTAAACGAATGACGTTTGTTAATGAAAAAACAAACAAACAAACAAAACAGAAAATTATTAATTACGAAAGCTTTTGGTTGTTAAAGGGCAACACCCACACTTTCATTTTTCGTTTTTTACATAAATAATAATAATAATAATATTTAAAAAATATCGATAGAAAGAAAATTTTTTTTCGATTTGATGACGTCAGTAAAAAAAAAACAAAGTCTTAATATGTAATATCTTGTCCGAGTTTATTATTATTATTATTCGTTGCCATTTTTTTTTTTTTTATACAAACAAACAACAAACAAAAAGTTTTTGTTATTATTATTATTATTTTTTCCCTAATCAATAAGCCTAACAAAAAAAATATAATGACGTCGTGACGGTTTTTGTTTTTTTTTTTTTGAACGGAAGTTTTGCTGCTTTTTTAAATCAAATTGAATATTTGCCAAAAGTGAGAGAGAGAGAGAGAGAGACAAACAATCTGACAACTGGCTAAAGTTAAAGAGAGAGAGAGAGAGAGAGAGAAAGAAAATTAACTTTAAAAAAACTATTTATTCATCCTCAGGCATTTTGTTTTTTTTGGCACAACGAAAAAAAAAAAAAAATTCTGTTGCAAAAAAAATTTTTTTTTTTTTGGAAAGATGCGGTCACCGCGTAGGGGAAGAAAATAAAAACAAAACTGAAAAGTTTTTTTTTTTTTTTTTTTTATACTTTAAGACATATTTTCTTTTTATTTATGTTGTTACTCTATGGTTTTCGAATAAGGCGGAAGTACGAACGGAAACCCTAAAAAAATTTCGATCCTTGTTGGATTTTTTCTCTTTCTCTCTCTCTCTCTCTCTCTCTCTCTCTCTCGGTATATTAAATAAAATTTATTTAATTGGAATTTAAAAAATTTAAATGAACCTTTTTTTTTTATTTAAAAACGAAAAAGGTCAATGAGTTGATTTAACCAAAAAAAAAAAAAAAAATTTATTTAAGATGGTTTTAGGCTTTTACATCAAGTCACCAAACCTGATCTTAACTGTTTTCTATTTTCGGGGAAAAAAAAAAAAAAAAATTCTTTTTTTTCTAATTTATAGCAATTAATGAAGTTTCTAAAAATAGAAGAAGAAAAAAAAAAGAAAAAAAATTATGTTATTTTTATACCATTTATTTCAGGTTGCCAGATGTTTTAGGTACATGACTTGATAATAGAATTAAAAAGGGTTTTTTTTAAATAAAGTTTATATATATATATATATATAAAAACTGGCCTAATTCTAACAAAAAAAAAAAAATCAAGTTTTAAAATCGTTCTTTTTCTCTCTCTCTCTCTGTGAATATGTATCTCTGGATGAAAAAAAAATCAAAAGAGAGAGAGAGATGAAACAAGGAAAGAAAGAGAGAAAAAAAGAGAGAGAGAGAAAATAAATTTCCTTAAAGGGTTTTTTTTTTTTTTTTTTTTTTTTTACAAAAAAATTATAATCAATTAAATTCAGGTAGCATTTTTTAATTTTTTATTCAGGGGCTGAAACTGTACCTGATTTAAAAAAAAGAAAGAAAGAAAAAAAAACTTATCACGTGGTTGTTTTGAATAAGTTGTAATTTTTTAATGTTAGAGTTTAAGTTTTTTAAAAATTTGGTTTTTTTTTTTTTTTTTAGGGAATTGATTTTACTTATAAATATGTGTACGAATGATTTTTATTTGATTCGTTATACTCACACAACAAACACACATACACACACACACACTCAAACTACCGCAATAAACACACACAAACATACCCAAACTATCACAACAAACATACTCAAACTACCACAACACACACATCACTCACATCACAAGACTCACAGCCAAAACACACACAACACACACACACACACACACACATATATCACAAAACACCACAAAAAACACATAAACACACACACACACACTCAAACCACCGCAACACACATACCCAAACTACCACAACAAACACACTCAAACCATCACAACACAAAACACAACACACACACACACACTCAAATTACCACATCACACTCGGTCAAAACACCACAACATACACACACAACACACACAGTAAAAGCACATACACTCAAAACACACAACACACACACACACACATACATCACAAAACACCACAAAAAACGCATACACACACACATTTACCCAAATTACCACAACAAACACACTCAAACCACCACAACACACACATCACAAAACGCACAACACACACACACACACACACGCGCGCATACACACACATAGATTCAGACACACAAAAAATTTAAATGAGTAAATTATAATTACAGTAGTAATGAGAAATAAGGAAAAAATATTTTTAATGGCGGTTCATTCGATTGATTTAATTTTTCATACAAAAAAATTAAATTTAAAATCCGCTACGTTAACGTTATCATTCACGTTTAAAGTCATCGTTACGCCGCGTAAAAAATTTCTCTTTTTAAATACGACAAACAACCACAATCCATTTCCGTTTTAAAATCAAATAAGGTGCGTTTTTTTTTTTTTTTTTTACACCATCTCTCCCTTCCGGTTTTTTATTTTTATTTTTCAAGTGTTATTTTTTTGTAATTTATCTTTCTCTCTCTCTCTCTCTCTCTCTCTCTCTCTTTACGAATTATATACGGTGCGTTAAATGCAATGGTTAATCAAAAGAAACCCTTGAATTGTTTTTTTCTTTTTCTTCCCCTCTTGTTTACTTTTGTCAAAAAAATAATAATAAGGAAATGCAAAACTGTCGGTGGCGGTAGAATATCATATAGGTAAATGAGATTCGTGTCAAAAGGTCAAATTCGCGTGGCATTAACACAACCTTGAGGGCAAATATAAGGGTGCCAACATTATTTTTAGTGGGAAAGGCCACGATAAGTCAAAAACATATCCGCGACTCTGAATTAATTTTTTTACCTGATCTTTTTTCTCTCTCTCTCTCTCTCGGGGGGTTTTTTTTTTTTTCTCATCTTCTTCATCATCATCATCATCTTCTTCTTCTTCTTTTGGACGAATTTACCACCTGGCTTCTTTTTTTTTTTTTTTAAAGTTATTAAAAAGGTGAGATTGAATTTATCATCCGGAAGGAAATGTTTTTTGAGAGATATCAAAAAAAAAAAAAAAAAAAAAAGATAAAAAATGATTTAAATCTTTGTTGAAGGGTTCACCTTTAAAAAAAAAAAAAACTAACATGGCGGAATGAGAGAGAAAGAGAGAGAGAGAGAGAGAAAAATTTCAGGGTTGATGAGAAGAGAAGAGTTTTTAATGAGTTTTCGAGGCTATGTGAATTTACATATGAGTTTTTTTTAACCAAATGAACAATTACAATAGTTAAAGTAAAAGTTTTCAGTGCCGTAGTTAGTCAGTTTTAAATTTCCCGCCAAAAAAAAAAATTAAATTCAATTTTTCCGGACACGTGCGTCGTGGTCGTCATCGCGGTCGTCATACCTTTTTTTTAGTCTTTTGTTATTATCATAAGTTATGCATGCCTAAGATGTTGAACCTAAGATGGAAACGCAGCAAAGAAAGAAAGAAAAAGAAAATTCTAAAATTTCATTTTGAAATATTAGCAATAATGTTATGGAAAAGAGGTAGAGAGAGAGAGAGAGAGAGAGTAATGCGAACGGCGTCTTTTGAAATGGCGGGAATTTTTTTCCACCGTGTTAATTTAGTTAATAAGGGATTATCACGTTTAGGAATTTATATTGGGTTTCATTTATTTATTTATTAATTTGAATCGTTTCTCTCTCTCTCTCTCTCTCTCTTTTTTCGTGTCTGAATACTTTTATGTTTGCAACCCCATTACATGATTCCTTTTCAAGTCATGCACCTAAAAATTATTATTATTATAACCGGGATTTTGTGACGTT